CAGGGGGTTTTTGGGGTGATCCCAGGGGTGTTTTTGGTGTCCCAGATTTTGGGGTTCCCGGGGTTTTGGGGAGCTCCCCCAGCTCACTGTCCTGGATGCCCATGGAGCTCCTGGAGGTTTTTTTTGGGTGATCCCAGGGGGTTTTCGGGGTGATCCCGGTGGTTTTTTGGGATAACGCCGGGGGGTTTTTTGGGGTGATCCCAGGGGTTTTTCGGGGTGATCCCAGGGGGTTTTTTGGGATAATCCCGGGGGATTTTTCGGGGTGATCCCAGGGGGTTTTCGGGGTGATCCCAGGGGGTTTTTTGGGGTCCCAGATTTTGGGGTGCCAGGTTTCGGGGGGCTCACCCAGCTCGCTGTCCCGGATGCCCATGTAGCTCTCCAGCAGATCGTCCACCTTGGCCACCGCGCGCTCCTCGAACGCCGACGGCTGCGGGGGTTTGGGGATTTTGGGGGATTTTGGGGGGTCCCCGAGGGTCCTGGGCCGATTTGGGGGGTCCCAAGGGGATTTTGGGGGGGTCCCAGGAGGATTTTTGGTTTCCCTGGGCTGTTTTGGGCTGGTTTTGGGGTCCATACCTGCTCCAGCAGTGTGGCCTCTTTTAGGGTCCCCAGGGTGGGTTTTGGGGTCTCTAGGGGATGTTTTGGGGTTCCCGTGGATATTTTGGGGTGATTTTGGGGTGTTTTGGGCCATACCTGCTCCTGCAGCATGGCCAGTTTTGGGGTCTCAGGGGATGTTTTAGGGTCTCTAGGGGATAGTTTGGGGAGTTTTTGGGGGGACACAGTGACACACGGGGGACACAGGGGACACACGGGGGACACACAGGGGACAGCGGTCACACCGGGGACACAGTGACACATCAGGGACACAGGGGACACAGTGACACAGTGACACACCGGGCACACAGGGGACAGCGGGGACACACAGGGGACACAGGGGTGACACAGGGGACACAGGGGACACAGAGTGACACACCGGGGACACACAGGGGACACAGGGGACAACGAGTCACACCGGGGACAGCGGGGTGACACACCGGGGACACGGGACAGCGGGTCACACCGGGGACACAGTGACACACAGGGGACACAGGGAACAGCGGGTCACACAGGGACATCGGGTCACAACGGGAACACAGGGGACAGAGAGGGGACACAGGGCACAGGGAGGGTCACAGGGGATGAGGGGGGGTCACAGCAGGGACACAGGGGGTCTCCGTTGTGGGGGGCACCTTCGGACACCCCCCAGTACAGCCCAGCGCTCCCAGTCCCCCCCAGTCCCTCCCAGTGCTCCCAGCACGCACCCCAGTCCCTCCAGGGCTCGGTCAGCTGCAGCTGGAAGCGGTGCCGGCGGGGCAGCACCTGGGGCGTGCGTGCCATCACCGAGCCCTCGTGGATCCGCTGAGGACAGGGGGGACACCTGGGTGACATCTGGGTCACACCTGGGGACACCTGAGTCACCCGGGGGGGTTGGGGACACCTGGGGGGCTGGGGACACCTGGGGACACCTGGGGTGTGTGTGCCATCACCCAGCCCTTCCGGATGTGCTGGGGACAGGGGCACAGCGGGGTCACACCTGGGGTCATCTCAGTCACCTGGGTCACACCTGGGTCACACCTGAGGTCACCTGTTGTCAGCGATGGTGAGCCCCAGCACTGTGCCACTGCCCCCACCCTGCTGTCACAGGTGTCCCCAGGTGTGTCCCCAGGTGTGTCTCACCTGCCCAGGTGTGGTCCCAGGCGTGTTCCCAGGTGTGTCTCACCTTGATGAAGGCGTATCCCGCTCCATTGTCAGTGTGATGAGCCCCAGGGCTGTTCCCAGGTGTGTCTCACCTATCCCCAGGTGTGTCTCGCCTGTCCCTAGGTGTGTCCCCAGTGTGTCTCACCTATCCCCAGGTGTGTCTCACCTCCCCAGGTGTGTCCCCAGTGTGTCTCACCTATCCCCAGGTGTGTCTCACCTGTCCCCAGGTGTGTCCCCAGGTGTGTCTCACCTATCCCCAGGTGTGTCTCACCTTGATGAAGGCGTAGCCCGCGCCGTTGTCGGTGATGGTGAGCCCCAGCTCTGTCCCAGGTGTGTTCCCAGGTGTGCCTCACCTATCCCCAGGTGTGTCTCACCTCCCCAGGTGTGTCCCCAGGTGTGTCCCCAGGTGTGTCTCACCTGGCCAGGTGTGTCTCACCTTGATGAAGGCGTAGCCCGCGCCGTTGTCGGTGATGGTGAGCCCCAGCGCCTCCTCGGATTTCAGCACCTGCACGTCCTTCTGGCGGCCGCGCGTGTGCGCGAAGATGAAATCCTCGAGGCCGATCTGCCCGCCCAGCAGCTTCTCCATGTCCACCTGGGGCGTGTTCAGCGTGCAGAACAGCACCTGGGGACAGCAGGGACATTGGGGACACTGGGGACAGCCCCTGGGGACAGCAGGGACACGGGACAGCACCTGGGGACAGCAGGGACATTGGGGACACTGGGGACAGCACCTGGGGACAGCAGGGACATTGGGGACACTGGGGACAGCACCTGGGGACAGCAGGGACACTGGGGACACTGGGGACATCGGTGTGTTCAGCATGCAGAACAGCACCTGAGGGGACAGCTGGGGACAGCACCTGGGGACACTGAGGACAGGGGACATGGGGACATTGGTGTGTTCGGCGTGCCATCGCAGTCCCTCCCAGTCCATTCCAGTCCATCCCAGTTCCTCCCAGTCCCCCCAGTATAACCCAGTCCATTCCCAGTATAACCCAGCCCCCCCGGTCCCCCCGGTCCCCCGGTCTCACCTCGCTGGGGGGGA